GAACTTCTTACTCCAACTCCTGTAACTCTCCTTGAACGAGGAGCAAGGAAAGTCAGAGGAAGAGTGCTCTGTTTTGAAATAAGTGCTGTATAAACACTCACAATTTCAAAATAAACTACTTTGAAATAAGCTACACAATTGACATAGCTCAGTTTGCGTCGCTTATTTCAAGTTAAGCCCTTCTGTGTAGATGCACCCTTACAGCACATCTAGACTATGTTTTTCTTTTGAAAGATGATATGCAAATTAGGCACCTATCTTCTTCCAATTGCTTTTTCAAAAGAGATTTTTTTCAAAAAAGCAAGCAGTCTAGACGTGGTTCTTTAGAAAAAAAATCCTCATTTTTTGAGGAAGAAGGGTTCTTTCGAAAAAGGTTTGGGGTTTTTTTTTCCAAAAGAACCGCATCTAGACTGCTTGCTTTTTCGAAAAAAACTCTTTTGAAAAAGTGATCAGAAGATATGCAAATTCACGCTGAATTTGCATATCTTGTTTCAAAAGAAAAATGCAGTCTAGACATGCCCTTAGTGTTCTACGTGCTCAGTCAGAAACATGAAAACAGTACATTTCTAAACAGGAAAATAATATTCAGAAGACTAGACATCTTGAGTATCATATGGAATGTAGGGTAACCAACTACAAATATAGCTGAGTAGTGGAACTAAAATTATGTCTTTTAGGTACGAAATTTGAGCTCTGATCACATTTGCTTGACATTTAATTTTTCTTTCAGCCATTTATTCCATGCATCATACTGCAAATGGCATTTAAAGTTTCAGGTTATCTTGTTATCTTTTCATAAATATTCATTGATTTTGCAGAGAAGAGCACCTGAATACGTGCAGTGCTCAATAGCCAATAAAAACAAACACATGTTAATTAGACAGCAGAAAAGTGCTTCTGGCTTCCCCCTATGAGAAAAAGATGATGAAGTTTAAATTAACCCAGAATATATTGGGCACAGTCTGAAAGTCAAAACAACTTAAAATAGTTTTTAAATTGATGCCACTAATGTTCATTTGGAATTTACAAAAACAAGATGCTTTGTTAGACAGCTAAGCATATGCATTTGTGTATAATAAGAAGTATAATTACGGATTGAAAAAGGTGTATTGAGTTGGATTATCCAGTTTTCTGATATGTAATTGTGGATCTGAGGGTATGTCTACACTACCCCGCTAGTTCGAACTAGCGGGGTAGTGTAGACATACCCTCAGATCCACAATTACATATCAGAAAACTGGATAATCCAACTCAATACACCTTTTTCAATCCGTAATTATACTTCTTATTATACACAAATGCATATGCTTAGCTGTCTAACAAAGCATCTTGTTTTTGTAAATTCCAAATGAACATTAGTGGCATCAATTTAAAAACTATTTTAAGTTGTTTTGACTTTCAGACTGTGCCCAATATATTCTGGGTTAATTTAAACTTCATCATCTTTTTCTCATAGGGGGAAGCCTAACTCCAACAACAAAATTTTCAAAGTTAGGCCCTTACAGGGGAGTTTTTAAATCCATATTTAGATCCAAATAAATAAGTGCCCTTATTTTCACAAGTGCTGAACTATGCCAGCTTCAACAACTCAGCAACTCTGAATATCAGGGCACTCGTGAAAAAGCTTAAATATGAATTTAGGTGCCAAACTATGGTATCTAGTTTGAAAAATTTGAGCACACACATTTTTTACAAACACATAACACTCCCGAATTTTCTGTGTTCAACATATGACTTTACAAAGCTATATACCATGGCAAGTGGAATCCTAAAAGGAGAATTATGGACCAGATTCTCTAGTTCACAATGGACACTTTGCATTGCTCAAGTACAAAGAGGAAATTTTTTGCAGTAGCTGAACAAGGAGCGAATTTTCTTTACGTAGAGGAATGCTACACTAACATAAAGCTATTAATGTGCTAGAGCCACTTGCCACCCTGACACTAAATGTGTGTGGGTCATATTAAGAGCAGGGGGACTCCTCTCTGCAATTCTATCCATCTATTGGTGTGAGGTCACTGAGCTTACACCACTGGCAGCGTAATTTTTTTAGTCCTACTTAAAATGCGAACAGTGATATTTAGTTTGAGAGAGCCTCAGCTTCCAAAATTCTGCCAATACACGGATTAGCTGCAATGGTAGTCCTACACTAACTAAAACCTACTTTGAAGATTTCAAACCTTACTTTGTTTAATTTTCAGAAATTCCTTTAAAAGTCAGAAATTGGGGTGGCCAGATAGAAAGCACCTTATTGTAATAATGAGCTATTTATTTTAGATTATATCATTTCATACATAAACTTGGCCTGCTATTACCTCAATTTTCCTTTCGTTTGCATAACCATTCACTGTTTAAAAATGTAATGTAGTACATTTTTTCAGGGTTTGTTATGTTGGTCTTCAAAACACAAGATGTGCATGATACAATATAAAGATATTGTGCTGCACATACAGGAATAACGAGAAAGCATGATGTTGCCAAAAGAATTGTGTAAATTTCTTTTCTTTTCTTTTAAGTACTGCATGAATTAAGATGCTAATGTGACTGGATTTTGTGTGTGATGGTCAACCAAAGTTGTCATAATGACCTTTGAAAGAAAAAACAGCCAATCCTAAATGGCAAGAATCTGCTAGCATGGGAAATACTGATTTTAATGTTGACTAATACTCCCGAATACTCTCACTATTGTGCATCACAGAAGTCCTTTACAATAATACAAGCATGGAGGTTACCAAGTGAGAACTTTCAAAGCAATAACCAAGACTACAACTAATTCCAGAAACTTCCTATAAAAACCAGACTCTACCAAAGCATTGCCATTCTTTTGATACACAATTTTCTCAAAAACCTCTCCAGCAATCAATTCCAGTACATATAGGTTACATAATCCATTGGTACTATGAAAAGGGGCAACTGGTGAACTCTTCCTCAAGGAAATTAAGATATCATGGAAGTTATACAAGATTAAAGATAGTTAAAATAAAAAGGGTTGATGTGCTACTTCTATCATTTTCTTGGGCAAGCACAGAGAAAACAGCCTGAGAGCTGACATGTAGTAAAAAAATACAGGGTTCCCCCAGTTTAGCCTACTTCTGATGGTATCTCTGCAGTAGTGAGAAACCAGATACTAAGCGATGGTCCAAGTGCAAACCTTACTGAAGTGAAAGGAAGACCTTCCATGGATGTGACTGTCCTGTGTTTCTGGCCCTATGTTCATGGAATTTTAACTCAGAATTTCCAAACCCTAATTACCAAACCATTACCAAACAAAACAGAAGCATGGGAAATGGTTTGAACAAAATGGGATTACAGGAAATGTCTATTACACTTCAGCTGCATCTTTGTAAAACTCCTTTGAGTGTAAAACTAAAAGGCTTTGACAGATCTTAACCAGAATGTACAGCAATGTTTTATACGGTGCAACATTTATTCTATACTGTTCAGGGGAGCACTGGTAATACCAAAGTACTTCCAAATCTCTATTTGAGAAACCCATAATGAGAAGATGTGATTCTGGAAACTAAGGCAGACATTTGACTGATGTCAGGTGAATCATAATTTTGTCCTTGTTCTTTTTTCCAAAAGATCCATTAGGGAGCTCCCTAGTACAGCAGTTCTCAAACTTTTTGGGCTCTGGAGCCCTTTACATACGTAAAAATTTTATGCGGAGATCCAGAAGTCCACTGATTGTATGTGTTGTACTTATGCGGGCCCCAGCGGTCCACTGATTGTATGTGTTGTACCTATAGATGTTTCCAGTTTGTCAACCTCGCAGAGCCCCTGGAGATGTCTCGCAGAGCCCTGGGGCTCCACGGAGCACAGTTTGAGAAACACTGCCCTAGTATAATTCAGTATTTTCCTCCTTTTGCAACTCCCACATCCAAATCATTGGTGGGCTTGCCAAGGAAGATCAAATTCTGCTCCATTCTGAGCTTGTCAATACTCTCCATAATCATGGATCCATGGCTGAAAAGTGTTGAACACCTCTTCCCTCTCTTCCCCTTTGCCAGAGGCTGAGCAGATTGTCTCTGAAGTATTGTTAGTTCCTGAAAACTCAAGGAACAATGATCAGGATTAATAACTGAGCCATGGTCTCCTGCAGGGCATCACAGAGCACTACCATTTACAAGGGAGGACAGTTCAAAAGAGCATGCATAACATGTAATCAACAAGAAAAATCTTGACCAACAGCACATTTTTAAGGTGAAAAATCAAGGCACACTATGCAATGGAAAAGTGACCTTCTCTCCATCATCAGTAACTCCAAGTCCATACAGTCCATTCAGAGCAGGCTTGGACACAAGCAGTCTTTCAAATTTGAGATCTTGATGGAAAGAAGCAGTGCTGGAAATACTGTGAAAATAACTCATTGCTTCAGATAATACTGTATATTCCACTTTCACTGCCATTATGTTTGAAAGCCACCTAAGATTTCTTAGGACTATTATCATTTGGCCTCCTTAAAATTTAGGTCAACTATAGTGCTCAGAGGCACTGAGCACCATAGCTATTCTGACTTAGCCTGGGATAGACACAGCTAGGCTGAGCAAAGAACGCTTCTGTCACTTGGGAAGGTGGTATTTCTGTAGTGATGGGGAAAAACCCTTCCATGATTATAAGCAGTGTACACACTATAGGGCTATGCCCTCATAGATATAGCACCACAGTTATGCCACTAGAGTCCCTTTGGTGTAGACATGGCCTAAGATTGCTACTATTCACTAGATCTATTCCTACTCCCTCTGCCTTTTGCTGTTATTTGCAGGGTCATTATTTCTATCATCATTCTCTTCAGCTCCAAAATTGTTATTAATGTTGATTTACAATGCTAGCTTCTTTTATAGTCCATTAATCTCCTCTGGCCTTGGCCTTTTTATCTCTGGTGATTCTTCCCTCAGCTGCTGTTTAAAAAAAGACCATGATAACCTGTATGTTTTGAAAATAAATGACAAAATATACCCCTTATGTCTGATTAAAATAGAAATGTAATGGACACGTACATCGTTCTCCTGCATTTCAGTTGTATGATGTAGATCAGGATACTGCTTCAGGAACTGTGCTACGTAGGTCATGATAGACTTTTCGTCTGGCTTGTCAACATCCACATCTGGAAGAGTACAGAATACATAGTAAATTAATTCACAATTGAACAGCAAAAATGTTACATATACTTGAAAAACTTTAAAATAAAAATTAATATATGCTACTCCAAAATTTGATGCAGTATATTTAATGTAAAATACCTTCAGGATCAAGAAGTTTTGGGATTCCCAGTTCTGTTTCTGCAATTGTGAAGGCATCATTTAGGTTTTCCCTATTAGATCTTCCTTTCACTTTCTCCATGTCCACTAGCTCTGGACGAATAGCATGAATAACCGAATGAAAGGCAACACCACTTCTCCAACTTCGTCCAAAATCTTTGACTTCAATTCCAGCTTTCCTTAAAATTTAATGAACAAACAAACAAAAAGAGACAGTATATCAATCCAGTCATATGAAGACACAAGATCCAAGGTTATGTTTTCTATCATTGTCCACGAGTACATTTTCTAATATGCCTCAAGCAAAACTTTCTAGTTCCAGTGAGCTGTTTGGTTACATTAAACCCTGAGTGTTACGAGCAAATGAACTACAATTCTGGTTCTTGTATGTAAGACACTACAAGGTATGTTGCTATATAAACCTCTACTCACACCCCCAAAACACACTGAATTCTTCCAATCTTCCTTCCCTTCCTTCAACATGGGCACCACGCTGGGGACCACTTCTATAGAGAGTGCCTCATCAATATGAGGCATACACTGTTGTATCAAGGGTTTGACAGCAAGACCCAACACTGTGTTATTCAGATATTATTCAACTCCCTTACCGGTTTTTATTCTCTCGGGGATAATTCTGTGTAATATCCCACAAAATGATACTGCTTTGTAAAATTAATCTACATTTATTATTACTAATATTATTATTATCATAATTATATGCATGATCCCCAGTCTTGGACCAGTAGCACATAGTACTAGGCACTATACAAACACAGAAAAAGAATGCCAGTCCTAAATAAAGAGCTTACAATTTAAATTACTTCAGGAGTTTAACTTACATTGCTGCTGTGTACTGCACCCACTTTAACAAAGCCTTCTTAGCACTTCCTTGGACTTTAGTTACCACCTTCCGTTTTGTTGGCGGACTTGCAGTCTCAGTGCTGAGGACACTGTCCACAGAGGATGTACTGCTAGACAATGACTGCAGCTGTGGGAGGTTGCTGGTCAGTTCTTCAATCTGTATTCGGAATGACATCAATTAAAGGTATTGCTGATATTTATTTTAATCAAAATCAACAGGACATTAACAGAATTAGACATGGGCTAAGATTAAAAAGGCATGAAAATAATAACCAAGATTTAAAAAATAAAATGGGTGCTTAAAGGTAGCTTGAGAAATACTTATTCAAGTGCCTAAATAGGGGGCCTCTTCAGAAGTGTTGAACATCTGGCAACTGTAGACTCTTACTGATGTCCTATAGTTTGAACAATGTCTAAATGTATCTCGGCACATAGCATTACATATTCTTATGCAAATTACTAGTTCATTGCTAGTGCAAATCACTAGCTCAAAGAAAAGATAATTCTATCGACTTAAATAGAGCTGCATCTGCTGATGCTGCTGACGAATTTGAATCAGACTGAACACTTGAAAGTGACCTTTGCAAACAGATTACATTTAGCCAACAGTGGCGCAGAAGAGGGCATTTGTTGACAGCTGCAGAAGTTAACAAGGCCTTGGTCCTCTTCCCATGTCCTCCTCAAAATAGCAAAGTGACTCTTATGACCTCATTTTAATAGTTTCATTTGCATGACAAAACAAGTACAGTATGATGGCATGGTTCTGAATGACTGGAAGTTTCTAGTTAGGAGAGGCCCTGTGATGGAATTGTACAGGAGGATACATCAACAAACACCAATGTGGCATTTCACAGATCACTTTTTTGTCCCATGCCTGGCTCACATGAAAACCATTAATCTCACATTTTTACAAGCATTAGACTCACACTTAGTTTTAACAGGAAATTATTGTATTCAAAGAGCAATGTCAACGTGTTGGCAAATTTTTGCCTTCTTGAAGAAATAAAGATTCAGAGAACATCACAAATCTGCTTAGTTCTTTAAGGAACCAGATTCCCATAGATTCTATAAGGGCTTAACAACATGCCCCTACACTGTAACAGCACTTCTCAGAAGGATTTTTCCTCTAGAATGTCATTTTTCACATCCTGAAAAATTAAGTTTTTACCAGTAATGTTTATAAAGAAAACTTTAAAAAAACAAACTAAACATAATTGGTGCTAAGGTTGGGTTAGACGAGATAGCTTGCGATAACAGCTTTCCTCATGAAAGAAAAAGATCTGCACAATTTACAGTAGTAATTTTGGTGCCACATATGTTTGGCATTTGGGAGACACCATCACTTTACTTTTAGAAGCCTAGCAAACCCCTGGGTGAAACAGAGCCATGCCAAAGGGAAGCCAGATTCAAGGAGCTCTGTAGAGCCAAACAGTATACACAATCATTTTTTGTAAGCAGTGTCTCATATTGTCAGCTCACAAGATCAAAGCCTGAAAAGTAACCCACTTTCCCCCCCATTTTGATCTCTAGAGAGCATACATGACTTCCACTCTACCACCCCCATTGTGGCAGAATATGGCCTTTTTTGTTCCCTACTGGAGGACTGTGATTCTACCATCCCAGGGACGGGCAATAAAATAAATAAATAAATAAATAAATGGTTAGTCCCTGGCAAGCCCCTGCTATATTTACCTCCACCTCTGCAGGTATTGGGCGATCACAGCTCTAATTGGCCACAGATTGCCATTTGCAGCCAACTGGAGCAGTGGAAAGCAGCACAGACTGGGACACTGCTTCCTGACACTCCCATTGGCTGCAAACAGCAATCTGCAGTCAATGAGAACTGCAATCACCCAATACTGTGGAGGTGCAGTTAAATATAGACATGGGGACCCACCAGGGTCTAATGCTGTGAACCAGATCTAGCCCGTGAGTCAGAATTTGCCCATGCCTGCACCATACCCTGCCCCAAGAAGTGGTGAACTGTCAGGAAAAGAGCAGCAAAAGTGGATCCTTCAAGTTTGCCTAAAGAGGACTCTCTGGAGTAGTCATTTTGAAAGCTAGAGGGACATGGTCTTCCAAACACTAGAGGGGCAAGCAACAGCCAATCAGAGTCCTGTGGGCTAGATAAAAGGAGCTGCCTGGCCTGAGGAGCTCAGTTCCTGGCTGGGACCAGAAATGTGAGGAAGGGGACTTCTCTCTGGTCACAGGGACTTGAGTTATAACCAGAGTTTGTTTTTGGTTGCATTTACTTTATCTGGGTTTACAAGGAGGAAAAAAGAACCTTAACGTGAGATAAGCTAACATGGACCAGGTCAGAAGAAGCCCAAGAAAGAAGCACAATGAACTGAAATCAAGTGATATGTGGCTTCTCCAGATGGATTACTGGGCTGTAACTCAGAGTAGTGGGCAGGCCCAGGTTTCCCCACCCACCACAGTAGCATCAACCCCAAGAAAAAGACACAGGGTTTATTTAAGAGCCTTCAACAAAAGGCCACATTTAAAGGGATCAGAGCCAGTGGCTTAAGCGACTTCATGGCATTGTTCACTTGGTAGCTATTTACTATCCTGGAAGGGATAAATTTTGACTTTGTGATTCAGACAAAAGGCCAAGCCACAGAAGATCTCAAAAAGTCAGCCTGCAATCTACAGAGGATGCCAGGAGCAGGAAAAGGCACACAGTACCACACCCAGCTGCAAGAATGTGCACAAGAGGTGAGTACTTCATTACACACTTTAATCTGAAACAAATTTTGTCCTTGACAGTATCTGTAGCTCCCAGTGAAATCAGTAGGCATCACACATGTGAATGTGAGGGCAGACTTCAGCCCTTAAATAGTAAACTCATGTTTGCATATTGAATCCACTGTCTCTGAAAACTTGATGTACTCACTAACACACTCTCTGTTAGTATAAGTAAGGCTTACAGTGATTGATGGTGCTTGTTTATATATTTTCTTTTTCAGGAAAAAAAGTGGGAATATATGCCAATAATAACTTGGCATCATTTTAAAGGTACATACCTGAGACCCAATCCTGTAAAGACTTACACACACTATTAACTTGACACAGAGAATAGTTCCATCAGCATGCATACATTGGTCCAGAACCATAGTTCCCACTAAGGTGGCACAAAAAAGTCTTCCCCCACACACCTCCCCTGGATAGCCACACAGCAGGTGGCTTCTCTGGCGGGTGGGGCCAGCTGACAGTGTGGTTAGGAAGCTGCTGAGGCTGGGGGCTGGGACCTGTTGCAGACATGTGCGGGAAGGGGAAGCCTGCTCCGGTGGCCAGGGCTGCCATGTGGTAGGATGGGCTGGGGCTAGGAATGGGACCTGAGGCATGGCAGGAGTGTCTGCTCCTGCAGCTGGGATGAGACACACATGGCTGCGGGGGGAGGGGGGAGGGGAGCTGCTCCAATGGCTGGGAATGGGACATGCTGCATGGTGGGGCAAGGGGGAGGGGATTTCTGCACACATCCAAAACAGAACACATGACCTTAATATTGGTGTACAAGCCAAAACTCACTCTGCTCATGGTTGGTCAATCTTAGAGGGAACACTGGCCAGAACCTTAGCTGGTATAAAGCAGCATAGCTTTATTGAAGTCAATGAAGCCAAACCAACTTATATCATATGAGGATTTGACCCATTACATCAATAAATAATAACTAAATGTAGAAAATACAATACCTGGAAATATAAAATTATGGTCCACAGCAAACCAAGCACAATAGAAGGCCTACCATCAGCAATATCAGTTGAATTGATGTTCACGAGCTTTATCTGTTTAGCAAAGAAAATGTGTGTTATCACATACAGGAGCTAGTGACAATTATTACATGGATTTTGAATGAGTTTAGTGTGTAACAAATTTATCCAAAAAATAATTTTTTGATTAAAAAATTCAGTGCAATGACCAAAACTTCAGTTAATATATTGCACAGCTATGGTTATGCCTTAAAATGGAGCAAGATAATGAACAAAAGTATAACAAAATGAATACAGTTTTCAGTTTGTGATTAAACATGGTTTATTACAGAATCATAGGAACTGCATTAAAAACTAATCTAAAGAACTATCCTGGTCATTAACATATAAATTTTCAAATGGGATAAAATATACTACTTAACTTATACTTTTTGTACTTATACAAGTTTGCTATAGTGTTAAAAATTTCAGAAAATCTTTGTACCAACCGGTGATCCTCTGTACATGGACTAGCATGAAAAGCAAAGAAGAAACAGTAACATATAAAATCAGCATAATGCAATAAATTAATTCATTTTCCTGTTAATTAGATTTTAGTATGTGAGGAAAGTATTGCAATAACAATATTATTAAGTAATGCAATGCATAAGATCCATAGCACTGTTTGTACTCACTGTTTGTTATCTCAAATTACTCATTTAGCTATGAATAAGCTGTTCTTGCCATAGTTTGTGTGAAGAAGAACAGGGAAAAAGAGAAGAAGGGAACAGAAAATAAATGGGAAGCAAGAAAGGAATAAATGGACGTGGAAAAGAAAAGATGAGATGAGATACATGTCTAGTATAGATCCTTTCAACCAAGCATTGCATAGGACTTTCCCAACATTACAATTCACATCATCACTAGTGAGGCATTATCATCTCTCTTTTAAACATGGATAAACAGATGAACGTGGAAGAACAAATGACTTTCCAAAGTAACATAGTAAATCAATCACAAAGGCAGGAAGAGAATCTAGGCTCAGAATCAAACTCAGTTTCTGCATTAACCATTAGACATACACTCATCAAAAATAAGGCCAAAAGACAACACTCGGTAAAGAAGAGGCTGAATATACAATAGATTATAGAATCAAAGAAAATATAATAGTAAACAGAAATCCTTGAAACAAAATGGGAGAGAATACTCCCCCCAAAAAGGAAAGAAAATACATAGTGGATCTGAGTCTCCTCTCAGTGATAATGAGGTATGTTAGTCTTGAATATCTTCACTGAAGTCAATATTACATTGATGTATAACTAGTAAAGTTCAACTTTCTTTTTTCACATTGAATTTTTTACTATATATTAAATTTCCACTGACGTTTTTTCAAAGCAAACACAAATAATTGGAAGAACTGTGTAGCTTAAGATAAAGCACCATCTTCTAATACATCATTCTGCTGAGAAAATTGAGAGGTTTTTTTTTTTTGCATGATGGCTAGGGCTTAAATTCTGATAGAGTATTTCCAGGAACCCCGTGCACCAACATGATATGAAGGCTCTAGGAATGTTAAAGATATGTACAGGAGATCTGCTCTGGAGTGTTCTAACTGAATTTCAGCACTGCCATGCACCCCCAAAATCTACTATATATTTGAGTTTGTTTGTTTGTTCAAAAAACTCCTCCTAAACGATAAGAGCAAGGACCACCAAATTTGGCATACAGCTTTCTCTTATCATAACTTAAAGCAATATAAGGATTTGGTTGTAAATTGGATGTGCCTGGAATGGGATTGCTTCTCATAAAACCATACAGAAAAGAAACAGCATCACCAAGCAAGTGAAAGGGTCTGGAGGGCGGCACACTCCACCATCTTGCCCCAGGCCCAAATCTCTCACTTCCCAGGTGCCCTTTAGGCAGGGTGGGAGGGAGCTGAAGCTCTACCCCATGGATACAGGGACATTGCTGGCTGTTCCTCTTCATCAGGGAGCAAGGGGAAAGTGCACAGTTTGCTGCATTCCTCTCTGGCTGGAGAGTTCAGGGGAAATGCCAGCTATGCTCTTTGCTCTCACTCCCTGTTTTTGAAAAATACAATCACTTATTGTCCTTTGAGAGAGCAGGAGACTAATTTCACATGATTTTTAACCATATAGATCAAAAGAAGAGCCACAGAAGCAGCTATAACACTTTAAGCAAAGCATCAAGGTTTGTTTGACAAAACTTTCATGTAGGGTTATACAGCTAGCTCCCTTCTCTCATAAAATCCCAGAGACCTTGGAAAGAGCCCTAGAGGATAATTCCCCACCAGATATTTTGAAAATCCACCCCCAAAAACTGGTATAAGCCTCCTAGAGAAACTGGGATTCTATATTTCTTCTGCTGGTTAACAAGGAAGAGGTACTGCATATAGCCTAGGTCAAGAAAATATAATTGGGGGCTCAGCCCCCAAAGCTGCCTCAAACCCCAACAAATCTTCCTTTCCTCCAGAGAGCAAAGCTTTCTTTAAGAATCATACAGATAAAAAGATTTACAGGGCTTTCACAACAGCTTTAGATTAGGCCACTGATCATATCCTATCACATACTGTATTTTCTTTGGCTTGCATCCTGTTAAAGTTGATTACAGAACTAGAAAGGAAAATTCTAGGTCCAAGGGAAAACATAGTTTTGTCCAAAAAGATATTAGCTTAGTTCCAATTGGGTTTCAGATTTTTCTAAATTTCAGTACATGACTCACTCAATTCTAACTCCAGATATATGAAAATGGCAAGCAATGCTGTAGCTCAAAGAGCACATTGGGTGAATCCCTACTCCCAGCCTTATCATAGGAATATAAAATACTAGCTTCATATTTAAAGATGTCCCTGTAGTAACTGTAGAATCACTGGATAAACTCATAAAAGTTATTAAACAAAAGCTTCACTACCCTACCCCAACATGAGAGACCAAAGATAACATTCAACAACTGATCATAAGATGGATCCCAGAACTTCTTCAATAGATGGTCCAGTGTTTCTTCTGAACAGAAGAAAGACTTTTGGATGAAGTATTGGGAATCACATGAGATTGCTTTAGGTTATGTAAAATGGCCTCTACTAAAGATTATGCAGGCCCCTCTGAGAGAAGGAAAATTGGTATGACATTC